GCTTGTCAAGACACGTGCTCTCATTTGATTAAATATTGGTAGTTAAGTAAACACTTCCCCATCAAAACGCGGAGGATAACTCACCACTTGTTGCACACAGTCCCAGTTGACCAGAGTGTCTGGATCAGTGAAGTGAGCCTTGTAATCCTGGTCATCAGTCACCACAAACTGACAACTGCAACACACACAAAGGTGAGATGAATCCCAAACATCGAGTCTCTGCATTCAGAATCATTTTCGTTTGGGAGGCCGCTTACTTGGCCTGCAGAAAAAGCTCCTTGTTGAAGGGCTTGTGCTTGTGGCCCCATTTGTTTCGACGGCCCCAACAGGAGTGGCCTCCGTCTCCGACGCCACCGTTACCTCCACGGGGTTCAAAAGTGAAGTTCAGCAGGTGGTTCAGGCTTATTTTTTTCGGTCCTGCCAACTGAGCCGGGCTGAATTCGGCCCGGCGCGTCTCTGCTACCTGGTGACACGAGGATTGATCGCAATTGACCAAATGAATGTCAACAAGGAACTGCTGAAGTTTTCTCACCACTAAATGAGGTCAGTACAACATCAGCCTTTGGAAACACGCACCTCCTCACGTCGTCCTCCACCTGTAACTCCATACTGTCGTCCTCCACCTCTCTGAGGGGGTCTCTTGTCAAAATTCTTGCTTTTCTGTGAATTGGTGCGGCGAGGGCCGGGGAAACTGTCGGCTTTAGGAAAGGAGGGCTCACGCTTGCGGCTGTAACGCTTGGAGCCTCCATTATTTTTACCTTCTGAAATCCAAATAAAAAAATAATAATTAAAAAAAAAGCCTTAGGGGGGGAAACATTTATAAACATCACAATTCAAGCTGATTTGTAATGTGAAAGACCCGATGTCTAAAAACAGTAGATTAAGTCTCCTGTAATTGAGTCTGTAGGTAAAAACTAAGCCTTTTGCACATTTCCACCCCATATAAAGAAAGTGCAAATACAGTTTCTTACAGAGCTCAATGGGGTTTGTTTAGGGCACATCTTAATTCGTGTGTTTTGGATTTTCAGTGCATTTTTTTCAGGATTTAGCAAACAAAATACCAGTTTTCATGCATCTGAAAACACAATAGTTTTGTGAAAACTATACAACTAAATATTTATTTACGTACATTAGTAGCTTTTGATTGGTAGCGGAAATGTGTCATCATGTCATAAAAAAAAAAATAAGTAAAACAATGCTGGATGGAAATATCGGGTACTTTGTGACAGCTGGTGGGTCAAATGTTTTGACAGCTACGTCAGGTCCTTAGCCATACAAGGTAAACAACCTCTGCAGTACGGCTAGGCCCCAACAGGCCACAGGGCAATGGGTGTTTAGCTACAAGAGCACACAATGTGTTTGGCAACCTCATGTGATATTTATGCCGTTTCCTGATATGTGTTCACCTGTTTTGGGTTTAGATTCGCTCGGTGCCGGGCCTGTGGAGCTGGAACGGGGCGGAACCTTGGTGCTGCTGCTGCTGTTGGGGTTTTTCTCCATGTTTGTCTCCGTGCAGTGAACGGTGTTGAGGCCGAGCTCCGGGCAGAGAGCCGCCGAGCTCTCTAGCATAAAACGGAAAAACGGAGAAGGAAAGCGGGCTGCAGTGAGTGCGGGTCAGGCGACAAAGGCCCTGATTCATTTCTGTCAAACGCGGAGACCCCATCACGGCGACATCTTGACCATAAAACAAACCCGAGAAAAAATAAGAGACACGGTTTCGGCGTCTCAAGTTATCGGAGCAGTTGGAAGTGAGGACGAAAAATCGTCACGCGGGGCCAAGACCCCCCGAATTTAGGATTTTTTTCTCGCTAAGGGAAACAATATGCCCTTAACAAGGCGATAAATGTTTTCCAAAAGCTGGAAAACCTAAAAATTCCGCGATTTTAGCCAAAAAATATATATCCTTCAAAACGAGCTTGCACTAATGGCGACAGGTCGCCAGACAGGAACCTGAGAGACCCGGATGTTTCTTGTACTGCCTGCCGATTTGTTTAGTAGTGATGTGTCGGTCGCGAACGAAACGGCTCTTAGAGCCGCCTCTTTGAAGTGAACGACAAGACCCGACTCCTTATTGGGATCCATGGTTTTTTGTTTTTTTTTTTCTTTCTCTCACCCTCTCTCTTGCCCTTTTTCCGCTTCACTCCGCACGCGAGGCTTGTGCTTTGCGCTGGGAAGAGTGAGGAGAGGCGGTAGTTGCACTCGCAGTAGCACAGGAACAGAGCCAGAGAGAAAGAGAGCCAGGGACAACAACGTCACATTAGAAAGGTATAGTAATCATCCACAACTATTTTCATTTGCAGATGATAAAGGATTCAGAAAGTTTATTCATGTAGGCCCATATGACAGAGAATGTGCATCTTCTTTTTGTTTTCATATTTTAATTTATATTTAATTGTGTTGTGGTTTGCAGTGTTTTGTGTTGTTTCACTTTAAATTTGTTTAAAAGGAAAAAGCTGAAAATTTAAATAGTTAAAAGTTTAAAATGTGAATAGTTTGGTTTTGTATTATATGATTTATTTATTTATTACATTTTATGTGGAGTGAATAAATAAAATTATATTTACGGTGGCCCCTAGAGACAAAGCACGTACAAACTCCGAAGCACGTACAAAACACAACAGAAGTGCTCCAGCATGCTAGGCGCAGTGTTGAGCTTTTGTTACCTAGTGGCTACACAAGCCAGGAAGTACCAGCGACTGGATTCGGTGTGTGGTAGTAACAGGTAAATGAACTTTTTTTTTTTTTTTTAAATTATTTGAATATATATGAGTGCTTGTGTATAAATACACAAACAATACACATATGCTTTCAACTGTGTAATTTAAGTGATCTAGGTAGCTCTGTTTTGGAAATTCAGTTAACACTAGAAATGTGTTTTGGAGTTTCTACTTGCTTTGGAGTTTGTACGTGCTTTGTCTCTAGGGGCCACCATATATATTTATATATAAACATATATAAATAAAACCACAGGTTTTTTTTTTACATTAGGAATTCATTTTGTGCACAATTTTATATTATTGTTAATAATAAATTAATTAAAGCAACAAAACAACCTGAAGATCCGGTTGGGAGCCAAAAGAGCCGGCTCTTTTTAGTGAGTTGAGCCAAAAGAGCCGGTTCTCAAAAAAAGAGGGGGAAATCCCATCACTATTGTGATCATGGGAGACGTAGTAATAACGTCCATGTCAGATTAGGATTAGTTTACTGGATTTGGGGTGATAAAATAAGTTTAGTATACTTTTGTTTTCTTCATACTTCGTGTTTTTTAAATAGTTTGTTTGTTTTGGGTTCTTTTTTTTTAATGGAGTCAGCTGGAGTAGCTGAGCCAGATGGCGTAAATAATTGGTGTTACCTTTATACTGGGCCTTGGTGCAGACCCTCAATTTAACTAGGGCCTCAAACTAGTCATAGCCTTTGTTTCTGCCCCTCTCCAAAAAAGTTAAATTTTAAAATGAAGACACATTAACCAAGTAAAATAAACCAGAACCCAAAAACATTACCCAAATGCCTGTCTGAAAAGTTTCGTTTAAGTGTTTAATGCCACAAAGTTTTGGCATTAAGATTTTCAATGTACAAAACCCTTCTAGTTTTCAGATGGGTACATGGGATCACAGGAAGACCTTGTCTACAAATCTAAGTATGCAGCTTGGATACTGCACAGGGGTAAAAGTGGGGGCCTCACCTCCTAAGACCATAAATGTAGAAACTAAGATTTAGGAAACAATAAGTTAATTTTATAAGTCATGGTCAGTTTTGGAGTTGGATATTTAGCCCAGGCTTGTTCACTGGTTAATGACTTACCAGTTACAAGGCATTAGCCTAACAGCATGCTCCGTCCACAGTTTGCATTCAGCCCCAGCCCTCGCTCTTCAAAACACTAAGATGACCTTTGCGCTGCTGAAATTGCAGCTACTAGAACACAGAACACACACCAAGAATACCTGTTCAGTCTAGTCTTCGTGTTTTCTTCATCAGGCAATGGAAACTTTTATTTTTAAATAGATCCAGTTTTAAGCTTCAGAGCTCTAACTTGCAGCCGTCACCTTCGAAATAAACAGCAGGGCAGAGAGCGTACTCAGGATCAAAATAATTAACTCAAATTAAAATGTTTAACCTCCTAAGACCTGAACTCTTCCACGAAATGCATTTTTAATTTCTCTTTGATATTTGGGCTGCTTGGGACCTGATGAATGTAAAAACAACGAATTACCAGATTTTTTTTAACCTTATTTTTGTTTTTAAGAAAAATGAGAGCCACATACGAGAATATTCGTTTAAAATTTCGATAGAACAGTAGCAATATAATGTCCTCGTAAGTGGATATCAGGCCCTTGTAGAGCAAAATTGAGTATTTTGGTCTAAATAACCCAAAATGTGATGTCCACATATGTGGACGCCAGGTCCTAGGAGGTTAATCTACCTCTCTGTGCACTAAATTTCAAACCTAACAATTTTCTGCAGCATTAAGCTCATTGTTTTTGCAAGTCTTGTATTTTACTGTATTTTTCATGTTCTTTTACATTTTATCACTATTTTTCCCCATCATCATCTGACCACATCTCTTTTTAGAATAGGCGGCGCTCACAGGGATCATTTTGTGCACCGTCACGACACATTGAATGCACCTTTTTGTTTAAGTTTGCACAGAGCCCGAGGCAGAAAACGCACCTTAACCTAGACAGCTGATAGCCATCATTGTGATACCCGATCTCTTCCACTGCGGTTTTTAGTCTTGTTAACCCAGCTAATGCAAAGCATTGTGTTGAACTTTTGTAGTATATCTTTCTGGACGTCACTAACCAGTGGGTGATGTCATGATTTACATACAGCCTGCTGTATGTATCTGTATCCATAATTTTGTATACGTACAACAGAACATCTTTCTATATAATGAATGGTATATTCTTAATAAAATTATGAAAGTGCGTATTTGATTGCCTATATGACCCAGATGGTCTATGTGAGCATGTGAAGTACATGGAACAGCATCACAAACACTGTATCTTCAAACAGTGGCTTTAATTTACAAATATGACAAAAAAGGAACCAATACAAATTAAACACACAAAATTAAATGTCTGACTCTTCAGAAGGAGAGCATAGTACTGTGTCGCACTGTGTAAATACAGTTTTATTTAACTATCTAACTTATGATCATGTGATCAAACACATGACTTTGCTGATGAAAGACACTCAAGACAGTCCATCAGACCACTCTGCAACCCAAAGTTATCCATGTAAACCGTCCCTCCAGTGCAGAGAATTATCTAAAGAAGGAGGTGGAGCGGTTAAAAGTAACAAAAGCACTGAGAACCTGCTGCAAGGTACTCTTGCAGTTGTGAATCTATTTCTTCAAATGCTTCATACAGACTTCTCTTTCAGTCACAACAAAAAACAAGCACAACCAGGCATCCTACTTGAACCTGAGCACAGGCCCCAGCATGTGGTCAAGTCACTCCTCTTCTTCCTCTTCCTCCTCACTCTCTGAATCCTCTTCAAATGCTTCCTTGCTTTCTGTTAGGGAACAGCTTAGAATTGCTTTGCGAACCTGCCGTTTTTCTTCTGCAAATAAAACGAGGAGAACTCCGTCAAATTGCTTTTTTTTTTGTTCATTTTGTGTTTGTTGTCCCAAGATCAAATGTTTGTTGTCTTCAGTGAACTACAAGATCTACAACTGAAGGGCTTGATCACATCCTATATGATTTAAGACGAAAGTTAAAATGTAGAACATTACAACTTTATGAGGATAATATTAGTGTAGTGTTAAGAAACACACAGACCAAAACTGCAAAATTTAGTGTTCAAATCAATTCTTTACCTTCGCTTTTACATTTAGGCAGCATTCGATGGAGCTGCTGGGTGTTGTATCGGATCAGAAACTTCTGACATGTTCTAATTGTCCCTGAAACAAACAAAAAACTCACCTTAAATTATATGTAGTTAAAATGTATGGTTCTGTGCAAAAGTCTTGAGCAACCCCTAATTTCTTTCTATTTTCCTTCCACGGAGCCAGACCTCCTTATAATTGTTTAAAATTGTCGTGAGCAATAATTTTCCAGGCTTTCTGAAGGTCTTTCAAAGTTTTTTGTTGTTGGCTTTTCTTGGTTGCTTTTTCACTTATTGTGAATTCAGTCTTTCTACCTGACCATTTTCAGAGCAATGCTTATTTGTTTCTTAACCCCGACTGATGATTCGTTCAAGTATTAAAAAAAAAAACACTTGTGGTGGGGCGTTGTCTGCGGGGCCGTGCGGATGCACCTGCATGGTATCCGCAATCATGCCCGCCGAGTTTAAAACATGGGGAACTGGGGTTTGTTGTGAGTTTTTGTGGTGTGATGCATGTATGGCTGACAGCCGAGAGCTGCAGCTGGAATGAATAAAATGGCTCAAAACTGATCTCTGGACCCACCGTGTCTCATTCACACCACAGCACTTAACACATAAATGTTAACTTAGCAAAGAACCAGTTTTAAACTGTACATAATTTGCTTCCACTTCTTCTGTTTAATCTATGAAAAAATACCAACGATAACACAATGTGACGGGTGGGAAATAGTATTTTTTTCCAATAAGAGGACGATTCCCAAAGAGTTGTAAGATGGAAACTAGGTATATCTCAGCATGGTCTGCAGTCCATTGTTAAAAAAAACTGAGAGAACTGGATGACAAAAAAAGGAAGTGGCACACCTAAAAGACTATCTACAGCAGATTAACTATCTGCTGTATATGAAAGTCATGTCCTTAAGAAATAGTAAAAAAAAAAAATCCAGCAAAGACCTCACACAGAATCTGAAAGATGCATCTGAACCTTCAGCTGATGCACCTACTGTTCACTGCCTCATTAGAAATTATCTAAGTGGAAGAGTGGCTGTCAAGAAGCCGTTCTTAAGGAAGGGAAACAACCAGAAGTCTGTCAACTTACAAACGAACTGAAAGTCAGTGGCAACAGGTCTTATGGAGTGATGAATCAAACGTAGATTTTTTCCCCCCCAAACTGTCTCCAATAAGTACAGAGGAGGTTAGGAGAGGGGTACAACAGTGAGTGTCTACAGCCATCTGTAAAACATGATGGAGTCTATCTTGGTTTGTGGTGTGAGAGATCTTCTGAACACAGGAGATTAAGCATTAGATTTTGATAAACCATGCAATACCGTCTGGAAAGTGTCTTCCTCGTGATCAACGATCTCAAACACATTGCCGGTGCAGTAAAAGCATACCTGGATTAAAACAAAAACAAAAAAACAAGTCATGGACTGACCTCCAGTCAACATCATTGAAGCAGTGTGGGATCACCTTAACAAAGAAAGGAAAAATAGGCAGCCAACAACCAATGAACAGCTTTGGATGTGCATGAAGAAGCCTGGAGAACTATTCCTGAAGACTACTTAATGAAATGACAGATAGTTCAGACTGTGTTGAACAATAAAGGTGGTCAAACCCTGTATTGATTTTCAAACTCATTTGAATTGTACAAACTCTGTTTTTGCCCTATATGCAGTATTTAAATTTATGATCGCACACGTTTCAATAAATCAGTGTAACTATTTCAGATTTTTTTTAGCAATATATGAAGAAACAATGAGTGGCTCAACACCTTTGCACAGTACTGTATGTATTTTTCATTCTGGAATATTAGTTTACAGTTTTTTCTTACCTCCTACATGCAAACAGTTTAGAAAGCAGGGAATTTTTTGCCCACGAGTTTCAACACTGGTAATGAAAGGCAATGCAGACCACAGGAGTTTGTAACAGCTTTTGGGAAAACGTAGAAATACTATTCCAGTGTGAGCGTTCAGATATTTAACTAAAAGGGGGAAAAAGACAAAAAAATTAAAAGTCAAACGACATTCCAGCAACATTAGCACGATGTCAAGAAGAATGTCGTCACCCCAGAAGTCAAAGGGATGGGACTATTATTATTTCGTTTAACTTTGCTTGACCAGCTTCCACAGGCAAACATTACGAACAGCTAAATACATTTTAAAATTTACTTTAGTGCTGATGCTTATTTGAACAACTTTCACTGGTATTTTCAAGTGTTGGCGCTTGATCCTTGGAAAGTATCTAAAACTTCTTACCACAAAATCTAATGCTACACATAGCGGCCCCATAGTCCCCATGTGTGCGGGCTACCGCTGCCTTCACTGCCACCATAATTGCTCGGTCGTCGAGCAGCAACAGCTGGCTCCTGTCCGACACGTTGACTTCGCATAGTAAATACCTGCGGCAGAATATGTAGCGTCAGAAACTAGGAGCACACACGCTAGAGGAAACAGTATACGAATAGCACGTTTTACCTCGACTTCAGCCGCACCATCGCTGCTTTACTCTACTTCCGTCGGAACTTCCGTCAACAAAACTCGGACAAGCGCACTAGCGCCACACGCTGGAAAGATGTAATGTATATTCGACACTTACATGGGCGCAGCACGGATTTACAGATACCAGTCCAACAACACATCCGAACAAAAAAAATTAAAGGGTAACATATTTCAAAAGCGGAAGAACTGGTAGATAGGTGGCTTTCAGAAAAGATAAAACGGTCGTCAAATCAGATCACTCCTGTGTGTTAGAAGCTAAACAACGCAAGCAGCTCATAAGGAAACGGAAAGGCCCGGAAATTAAACCATTCACACCCCTGGGGTAACTATGGCAACCTCCATCGATCTTAGCCAATCACAACCTCGCGTTACCATCTCCCTAACACGTTTCACGCCATCTTGAGATTACCTCCTAGTTTGTTAAATCGCTCCCAAATTCATAGGCTCCGCTCCTCATTTCATTGTTGCCGCGCTGTCCGAAATGAACGGTTCCCGAAACAAACCTTTACAAACAGTCAGCAAGGGCCCGAAGGACGCAGACACCGGCACGGAGAGCAACCACAGGGACAGAAAGAGTGGCGGAGGAATGCTGAAGAAGCTGAAGTCGAGGCGCAGCCAAACGGAGAAGTGGCCTGTGGTCACAGAGGATGAACTCCGGGCTCTAGGAAGAGATATCACCCCGGACCATGTCCTCGGGCTCCGGGCTGTTACGGAAGGTAATGTTATGGCAACGTAAAGTTGCGCATTGCTCAAAGCGGCGAAATTTGATCGCCTAACTAGCTACGCACTATGCTAATTGTGGCTAACGTTAAGAAAAGAAGTTTGAGAGCAGTCGACCAAAGGGTACGTTTTCTAAATGTGTTCATAAGGTAAATACTACATGTGTTACTTTGGTGATTCTGCGAGCACGGGTTCATTGGGGGTTTGCAAGGGTGCAAGTAGGACTTTGAAGCCCCAAAGCGAGCATTGTTTAGGGCACCCCACGCTGGCTTGGGGAGGTCAAACAGCTAAAAGCCTATTATTATCTTAACAACTTGTTTTAGTAAGTGTGTTTGGCAGATACGTGTACTGTTGTGTTTCTTCTCATTTCTTCCCAATTGGAGGTGTAGTGACTAAACTTTTAGGTTTAGAATCTTCTACTCACCCACGTTTATTAAGTAAGTTATTATAAAGCACACAGTTTCGGTTCTGACACGGCTGTTAATGAGTTAATGATCAGTTGAACCTTTGTTTTGATTTTAGTTTATTATGTGTAAAGTATACACAAGTGGATGATTTCATATTAAGAAAACAAAAACAAAGTGGGAAGTGTAATTACAACACTTTGGCTTTATGTACAGTATGTAAAAACGATATGAAATAATCTTAAATTCTACATATAATGTAGATACTGTACCTGAACAGCAGTAGGTAGAAGTTTACGTTTCTCGGGCTGTACTCCTTTTTCACAAAAAGGAGAATCTTACTGAATACATTCAGCTTGGGTTTCCTGCCTTGATTTTTAAAAAAGAAAATTAAGACAAGGCTTCATTAGAACATAAGGAGACAACTCGATCTCTGAGAGGAGCATTTCCTATATTTATGCAGTTTGTTGTTTTGAACAAACTTGTGTAATTATGTATTGATGTGCTTTTTTTTTTGTTCGTCTGTGCAGTTGTTCCACACACTGTAATGCTGTGATATTTTACATTAGTCTTTACTACCGGCTTCCTAAACATAAGGATTCCTCTCCCAGGTCATGTCTTATTTGGAACAAATTCTGAATGTTATGGTGCCTGTTGTGTGTTCATCAATATAAAGAACCAACTTCCCACACAGTTATTTAATGAGTAATTCATTTGGATTGCTGGCTTCTTTCATTTTCTCCCCTAACCGTCATCACCTTCACCCATGTAGCAACCTGCTTGAACCCTATCCCATGGTTTGTCATCGGACACCCAGTTGACTACAGCTGCAGCTAGTGACTAATGTTGTTTTTTTAGCTTTTTTTCTCACCCAGACAACAATGACATTACTTCTGCTCTATCTCACTGCCATTGTTTGAACACTAGAACCTTTTTCTATAGCATTAGTCACCATTACTGCAGTTTGCAGGAGCCAGAAAAACAGATACTGAAAGCCTGACTGCTCCTTAAGTGCTGTCTCAGTTCTCTAAGTAAAGGTCAGTCTTTGTGCTCCAAACAGTTGTGTGACTTTCACAAAGTTGTTATATTGAGGTTTTTCAGTTGCGCAACCACATGTCGTTAACGTGTTCACTATTTTGGATGTGTGACAATCATGGTGACAATGTGGACTCCAGTCATGATGTGAAAAAATGGTATTCCCCGATCTGTTGCTGGAGGTTGGTGGTAGTATCTGATTAAGTAATTACTAAAGCCCCAGTCACACATACCAAGAGACTGATCATTGAGGCCTTGCAAGCAACGGTCGGGTTCTCTCTGAGCTGTAGTAAAACTGAAAAAAGTCCAATCCAAATTGCCTCCAGAGCCACATGCTTTTACTTTGAAATCCAATCGTCTCCATTTCCATTTGCGTCATACTTTTACTACTGCTTTGCTAGTAGTTTGCAAGTGTTTGCAGACAAATTTGAAAAACGTCAGGCAGCTATGACAGTCTGCTAGAAACCAAAGCAATCACTAGGAGGTTTTTGGTGCAGCACCTTCTTTGCATCCAATTTAGCAAACATAGCTTGTAATCACATCCAATGAGGGTGGATAAATCTCTTAAAATGTGAACATGACATCAAATGAGAAACCTCAATACAGAAGAATTTAAATAAAGGGACCTCTATATTCTAGTAGTTGTTTGCTAGTTGACGTCTAAGCTCACAAACGGTGATAACACTAATCTTAATTCTAGGCAATGAGAATGTGCTCTTTTTTTTTTTTTTTTCTCATTAAACTTTTCACCAAATCTTGTCAATCAGCAATGAAATTAAATAACCATTCAAACTGTCACGCATCAAAAACTATTTACATTTTTTTTCTCCGAAAGTCTGTTTACCCCACTCTGGAACAAGGCAAAAGTTAACATCAGTGTTACTAAACACGATCACTTTGACTGCAGAGGGTTAAACTCCCTCACGTTTACTGTATAAGTTGATTGTCTTGGCTTAACTTGCTTTTTTTCCTTCCACATTCCAGACTATCTTTGCAGACCTGAAGATAATATCTACAACATTGACTTCACACGTTTCAAAATCAGAGATCTTGAGACAGGAACAGTGCTCTTTGAAATCGCCAAACCTCCTAACAGCGGTAAGTGATACACTCAAAATTTGCCTGCATGTTACCAAGCTTAAAATTGTTTAAAAATATAGAACACACCTGAATGAATAACAGAAATGATCATACATCCATGCAAACATGTTAAAGCTGTTTAGTTATCATGCATTTAAAAAGATGAATTGTCACCAAGCACGAGAGCTGCAGCCCAGCTGTGTATTGGTATCCTTACTTTTATCTCAAATGTAAATCTATCAAAACACATGAAGTCTAAAAAGAAGGACCCACGATTAAGCACTATTGCTTCCCCTTTTCACTAGTAACGCATCCTCTGCATGTATTTAGATTTTTGTTTGTTTCTTTAACATGCTGATTTGATTTGACGCCACCATCTCAAACTGTGCTCATTCAGTTGTATCAGAGCCTTTTGATGGATGATCATAACTTGAAAAGAGACACCCTATGTATATTTCAAGCACTACAGTAAAGCATGTATGCCAGTCAGCTGAATTAGCCTTCTGTGTCAGGACCCGTGGAGAGTGAAGAGGAGGGTGGCGATCCAGACACCAGTGCGGGGCGTTTTGTCAGATACCAGTTTACACCAGCCTTCCTAAAACTCCGCACGGTTGGTGCGACGTGAGTAAATGGACTACAACGGTGTGACTGCATCACGATCAGCCTCGGGTGTCTATTTAGTTTCTTAATTTGTCTCTTTTCCCCTCTCTGCAGAGTGGAGTTCACAGTGGGTGACCGCCCCATTAACAGCTTCCGTATGATTGAGCGGCATTACTTTCAGGGACGCCTTCTGAAGAATTTCGACTTTGACTTCGGTTTTTGCATTCCTAACAGCTGCAACACATGTGAACACATTTACGAGTTCCCGCAGCTTCCTGACGACCTCAGTAAGTTCTGCTCCTTTTTGTTCATATTACCAGATCTGTATATCTTTATTTCTTAATTGATGGTGTGCCCTTCTCCTTTTCTAGTTCGTCAAATGGTGGCACATCCTTATGAGACCAGATCAGACAGTTTCTACTTTGTGGATAATAAACTCATCATGCACAACAAAGCAGACTATGCCTACAATGGTGGTCTGTAATACCTGAAGGGGGGGCGTGTTTAAAAAGGATGCAGTAGCTCCCAGGAGACCGATTTTCTGGATTGTGCCCCTCAATAAAGGGGGCAGAGACAGAAGTATTCACTCTTTATCGGAATAAAGCACCATAGTTTAAAAAAAGGAACAGAAGCAGGAAAAAACCCAACCATATCTGCCTTCATATGAAATCATGGATCAATTCATCAGTACCGAACAGAGCTCAGTTTCTGGGAGTCCGAGAGAATGTTTAATTCAGTATTTCGCTGTTATATCTGACTGAAACCTTTCTGTTCTCCTTTTGGATTGTCATACATGTGTAATGTAACTGCTTGAACACTTTTGCCTTAATTTCCTGCTGTCTCTGCTGGAAAGGGACAGTTTTGAGTAACACATCTATAGTGGTAACGTCTGTAGACTACGTTAGTTTTTCATTTAATTACTGATGTAATAAGTTTGTTTATTTTTGAGCTGAACTACCTTTTGCAAGTGACAATTGTGTTTCCTTTATGGAAAAACAAGCATTATGTAGGTGTTTCGGTCTTGTTTTATCAATAGATGTAGCATTAGTATTTGTTTGAGTTTGATTCTTCCTCAGATGTGAGTTGAGAGCAGTTGCTACTGTTTGTCAGATATTTAAGCTTGGTGTCCGTTTTATGAAGTACAAGATGACCAGTTTCTTCTTTGGTAGAATATCCCTTAATTCGAAAATGGTCGTCTCCCTTTTCCTGTTTTGTTTTTGTTTGTTTTTTTTTTTTTAAATAATTCCAGGTGTGATGTTCATTCTGCTACAATCGGTTAGATTGTTATAACAAAAGTTTTCTCATGTCTTTGTTCTATGAAAACTCTGGGATAGATCTAGTTACTAGACTTTAAATGTTTTTCTTTTATGTGCCGTCCATGTTTAGAAGTGTTTTTCTGCCTTCTTTGTACAATTGCATAGTTCTTTCATCCTTTGTTTATTTGTCACAGCAGTGCTGTGAATCCCACTCTTTAGCAGCGTTTGGCCAAACATGTGGTATACCTATTGAACTGTTAGTACGCTCTTCTCCTTTGAGATTGCCTTCTCAGTTTACTAATGAAATACCACAGTAGCACACAACTTGACAGTACAGAGGGAGGTAACTTGGTAGTTGGATCTATTTTTAATGAGGCACTGGGGTAGATGCAGTCATTGACCTGTTTGACCGATGATACTGGTGACTCTGCAAATTTTAACCCATCTGTGTACGAATAATGACTTTTTCAAATTTTACACCAGTTTTCCAGTGTGCACAATTTCATGTGATGCCAGTCCTGCTAGAAGGAATACCTTACTTACTGTGATGCTCTGAATTGCATTATGCTGAAAAGTTGTCTGTAATTTATTCAAAACGGCAGCAGTTAAGAGTTTGAAATTGGGCTCCACTTGCAGAGTGATTTCCAGGTGAAACGTGGATTTCTCTTCATAGTTGGGTTTTGTTTGAATTTATGTTACTGAAATGAAAACCTGCAAGGCAGGAGATAGTAATGAAACCTTGCAAATGGTTGTTTAAAGTGTATTTGTTAATTTGCATTTCAGTCATGCATACACACATCAGGACTTCTTCCTACTGTACTGTTATTGACTCTGTGCCTTGAATCCAGTTTTTTTTTTTTTTTTTTTCCACCTTTAATCTGCAGAAGTCTCCTTTTCCTGTCCACTCGTGGCAGTAAGCTGAAGGGATGTAAAATTGCCTCCTGATGTTCTTTTTCTGTATTCTTGTAGCATTACCTTCTATAAAACAGGATGATTACAGTGAGGAAGAGTCAGTGACAACATATTATGCAGTCCGTTAATACCCACAACAAATGGGATATCACATTAGGCACCCTTTTGTCAACTGTGCCCTTTTCTTTTCTTCCTATGTTGGACTTCATGGACTCTTTCTGTCACCTGCTGCATGGTCACCAGTTTTTATATTGGCTAATTTTGCTAATGTTCATCTTATCCAATTTGTTGTAAATAAATAAAAAAAAAATGGGTGAATGAATGAGATGGAAAGTACTTTATTTATCCTATGTTTTGGAAATTCTTTAAAATTAATATTTTAATAATATCTGACAGATGTCTCTGTGCCAGGCAGATGTATTGTGTTACAAGAGATCATAACATGTGGTGGGAAAGTTTAACTGTTTCTGTCCTCTTGGCAGTAGAGCTGAATCAGTCTGTTAGAGAAAGTGTCTGTGCTACGGTAGGTCAGATGCTAAGCCCATCACCATCTCTCTGGTTTTATTCACATTCAGGAGACATTTCCTTCCAGATCACTCTATGAAATCATCAAGTAGTGCTCTGTACTACTCCCCCCCCTGCTGCCATCACTACTAGAGCTAAACACTGCACAATCTTTGTAGGTGGCATCACAGGGTTGTACTGAAAGTCTGAAATATGAGCAATGACAAAGTCCTCTGTGGAGCTCCTATACTGCACATCACCAAATCAGACACAGCACTGCCCAGTCTCACATATCACAACCTCTCTTGTCAGATTGTCACTAATCCATGCTAGATTACTGATGGTGGATATGCTTACTGACATTTCCTGGAGCTTCTCTTTCTGAGTCGTGTTAATTGCACTTGAGAAATTAAAGGAGCAGCTTTGTCTAAATTGCAGTAAACTCTGTATCATGTTGTCGATTTATCCACTACATGATACATGATTAAGTTCTATGCAACCTGCAGGGTAAAGTGATGTTTCCACATTTGTTCTGAGGTGTGCCAAGACTAGTCTCTCTCTTAGTCTCAATATAAATGAGTTATAAGGGATGTTGTTTTTCCACCTTGAAACTTGAATATCACATTGTAGGTTTGCTGAACAAAATGCATACAAGGTGATGTGCTTGTGAGACCTGTCCAAGTTAGAGTGACCATGTGTCCTACTTAATGTGGGTCTGCACAGAATTCCCAAATATTGAGACAAAAATAAACACACCTCATAAAACCCCAAACATGCCATGACCCACTGAATAGTTTTGATAGTGACTCTAGGGAAAAGGAAGAAAACAGGACCCAGAAATGTAACTCTGATTTCCATTTGAAAAGTAATTTGAAAATAATATTTAACCCTGATTTACCACCGTTTCTTAAAACGGAATGAAAGTAGTGATGAGTCTGAGAACGCTTTGGGGTTTTTTTTCTCACCTGGGTAACAAAATACATTACCCAGAATCCTCTGCTGAAAACACAACACTAGTAGCTGCACATGTGTTTCATCATGGCGGCCCCCGCTAAAAAGATGGTTGGGGTTTCGGACTCCAGCAGCAGTGACGACGAAGTACTTAAAAGATGTCAGGAGGCGGTTTGGGAGACGAAGGCTGTCAAAAGCAAAGGTTAGTGTTTGCCTCCTCTGTTTGAACCGAGGGGACAAGCTAGCATACGTGCACCGCTAGTCGTTCCCAACAGGTACCCCGGAGAAGTTTCCACAATATTTATAGTCCATGCATAAAGAGCTGTCGGTCAGTAACATTTTCTAATGAAATGTATTTAATTGGTTACAAATAAACATTACGGTAAGACTCTAAGAGCGTAGCGCAGCTTTAGCTAGCCCCTGAGCTTGCTAAATCAACACAGTGCGCGGGTTTAATCAGCTGCAGTGTAGCTCTGTTAAAGACGCTAACTCTCTGTGTTTTAAGATGCGGATGCCAGTGTGAAAGAGTCAAAGCGGTAAGTGTTACCTTTTAAAATATCCATTTGCTTCTTTTAGTGTTAAATATCCGTAGAAGTGTGAAAACTGCTTCAATTTTCCAACACAATACATTGTTGTTCCTTTCACTATTGCACAGGAGGGAAAATGTATGGAAGGTTTAGAGTATTTCCAGATTTGGTTGTTTGACCCACAAAGATGTAACACGATGTTGTTGTTTCACGCACAAAAGCTCTGTATGTGAACTTTGTGTCTTTCCAATGTGAGCAGTAAATTGTAATGACGTTAGATTCAATTAACGTGAACCCCCCCGAAATACTTAAAATTAGTTTTTGTAAGCTATGACTATCCATCTGTTCTGCAAATTAATCTCGCATTGCGTAATAATAATTTGTTGGTTCAAGTTAATGTTTTTAACTCGAACCAACCCTGATTTCTTTATATTTTGCTTAGAATTGTTTAAAGTAGTCTTGAGCAATAGTTCTTCGGGCTTTTCAGAAGGTCTTTCAGTGTTTCTTTGGACATTGGCTACTTTTTCACTCACTTTCAGTTCAGTCATTGTGCCTGATCATTTTCAAAGGAATGTTGTCTTTCCTTGTTTGTTTGTTGAGCCACTTAACACTGATTAACACAACATTGTGTCTTTAGGCACTTTAATAGCAGCCTGTCACAAAAACACATTACTTGTTACCATTTCTTTAGTTGAAACTATGAAAAATCCCCAAGAAAACACAGTTTGGCAGGCACAAAATAATATTTTTACGCCAACAAAGTGATTACTAAAAAGTTATTGGCCAAAAACTTGGCATGGTTCATAGCGTGTCTTTAAAAAATACGAGTAGATGAAACAAATGGAGAACTAAAAATATCTACAACAGATGAACAGTATCTGAAAGTTATGCCCTTAAAAACAGGAAAACGTTTAGCAAAGACCTGACCTGAGTGATGCCCCTCTGTTGATCCATCTGTTGTTCATGAAGCCTTATAACAAATGGTCTCAGTGGAAGTGTGGCTGTCAAGAACCCATGCTAAATTACACAAGAACTGGACTGAAAATCGTTGGCAACAGATCTGATGGAGGGAAGAATCAAAATTTGAATTTTATTGTTCAAATAATTGTTAATATGTACGGAGGAGGTCAGGAGAGAGGTACAGCAGTGAGTGTCTATACAGAGGATTTGGGGGTTTTGGGCAGTGGTGTTGGGGATCTTGTCAAAATTGGCAATGAAGTAAAACTTACATAATTAAGAAAACACACAATGGGACACTATCAGTCGTAGATTGAGCCCAGACCATAACATTAGTGAAAGAGTGTGAGAGAATCTTGCAGAAACATCCAAAAAGCTTTAAATTTCCTCCAAGAAGCCTGGAGAAATATTCCTGCAGATTACTGAAAGAAAGGGCAGAAAAAGCTGCCTGAGAGTTCAGAGTCAGAGGCTTGAGACTTTTGCAAAAGGCTGTAGATCCTTTATCTCAGTAGGCAAGTACAGAGGTATCTGTTTTTTGTTTTGTTTTTTTTATATCAATGTCAGAAATAAAATAAGCTTCATAAAGTTTTTTTGTATAACAGTCTCGTTGTCGCTGACCATGAACATGACGGCAACGAGCTCCAGGTCACGCCAGGATTCCAGACGCATGTTGCCAGAAAGTTAGGACACTTTCTTGACAGGTAACGACTCTGACTACAAAAAACCAAAAAAAAACAACCTTTTGTTTATAATAATTGATAATCATAAGATTATCTTATTAACCATTATATTTGCCTGTCAGTTGTATTTCAGAGATAAAGCCTCAAACTTCGTCCTGTTTAGAACCAGCTAAATGTAACAAAGATGAGGAGGAGGAGGAAGGTAAAGTTTCTGGCTCTTTAAGAAGATTTTGTTTCTATGGGAACTTGTGTTCATCTCTTTAAACCTGACAGTTTTCTTCTTCTAGGATTTCGTCTGTTTTCTACATCAGTCCCAGGAAAGAAAGCTGAAGATCCTCCCGCCCCCGTAAGGCGTCGGCCTGCTCCCAGCTCAAGGTTCTTCATCTCTATTAATGTTTTCTTCCTTGTGTTATTGATTCATTTTTATTTCCCTCCGTATGACATTCTTTCTCTCTCTGCCCGTTTCAGCGACAGCGATGATGAGATGGAAATGAGGCTGAAAGAGGCAGCGGTGTCTGTCAAAGATCTGTTACCCTCGTTGGTGCTCTCACCCCCTTCGATGGAGTCTCCTTGCTCGGTAAAAATGACAAAGACGAAGAAGAAAGATACAGATGGAGAAGAGAGCCGCGTTAAGAAGAAGAAGAAGAAGAATCAGGAGGATGGGGAACAGGTGGACTCAGATTCTACTCCTGATGCTCAGAGTAATGGTGAGCTCACAAACTCAGAACAGGAACACATGCAAGTCAAAGTAAAACGGAAAAAGAAGAAGAAGAAGAGGCAAGAAGAAAACGCAGAGGAAGAAGCATTGCACTGATTTTTAATTATTTTTTAAATGACTTTCTGCCACGGTGAATTCAAAGATTTAAAATATTTTTATTCAAAAGCTGGAATTGGTCTTTACTTTGTCATTAATGATGTTAAAACAAAAAAAAGTGAAAATATTTCAAGGTGAGTTAAAAAAATGCAGATAACATGCTGATGACAAGTTTCAGATCAGTTTACATTTTGTTTAAATTCTAAAACATTTACAAATATTTGAATAAAAAAATACACGTCAGTGTTAATCTTCCGTTGATTTTCTGTGTCGAGAGAATTTTCTGTGTCCTCGTTTCAGTGACAGTTTGACCTTTGAGTCAAACAGTGTCATCGCTCAGGTGCAACTCTGGGTTTTCAGTGTTACGAAGGCGACCTGCTTCTTACTTTGGTACATCTTCATGGTAACCTACACTGCAGACCTTACCTGCTCGTATTTCTGTTTCTGTAGTTTTATCTTCTTTTGTAAAATTAGTTGCACTGCTTGTCCACGTTTCTGATTGGTCAGATCTAGATTGGAAAGACCCTGGTTTGACGTATCAAGTTCATAACAGCTTTCGGGTGACTACTTATTCTGAATGCTGATCTTGGGGTGGATGAAGCCAGTATTTTGGGTATTTTGAGCTTGCTTTGTAGTACTGGCCCCAAGCTTACATGGCATACGTCCCGATTCACTCCTGAATCCAGCTGACAGTCAGGAGACTCTTTTACTGTGCTGTGGAAACCATTTGTGCAGGGATGTAGGAGCTGATTTCTGTCGGAGACGGTGAGAGGAGGTGAGATTGATGGCTTTCTGTCGCCTGAGAGGAAGGATACAGCTCGAGGCTCCCGGATGAAACTGTTAATTTAAAAAAGCAAAGAAAAGAGGCTTCAGATTGTTTGAAAACAGTGTTTGTGTTGGGACATTTGAGAGAATCAGGCTACAAAGACATCTGAGAGTCTATTATCTTTGGGTTCTCTTCTGTGAAGGTGTAGAAGGTAAAAAAAGAGTTGCTGATATCAGTCAAATGATGTACACATGATAAGAAGTAAATAATGAAACATCTCTGATGGACTAGCTAACCACCCTGTTGGCTTATGCGCCGTAGCCAGCCTTGCTCTATGCACCATGTAATGGGTAAATGTCAGCTTTTGGCTTTGTGCAGTGTTTGAACCAGTCGTCTGCTTTCATGGTCTCCTCTCAGCTGCTCCTTTTAGGGATTTCTACAGCAGATCATATGCCTCCATCTCACCTCTAGCACCCTCCTCTGTCACACCAACCCTCTGCACGTCCTCCTTCGCTACATCCATGAACCTTCTTTGTGCTCTTTGTCTTTTCCTCCTCCCTGGCAGCTCCATCTTCAACATCTAATCAGCGTCTAATCTTGTCCATCCTGCTCACTCCCAATGAAAATCTTAACACCAGCTCGGCCTCCTGTTATTTTGTCAAAACCATCTTCTCCAAAGCATTAGCATCACCCCTTCGATTTCCAGCTTCAAACTCGTGAGCCTGTCTGACACTCTTCACATAATCTTCCTTCAGGATCACCCCTAATCCATTTTTCTTCCTGTCTACAGCACAGTAGAACATCTTGAATCCACCTCCAATACTCATGGCCTTGGTTTGCTTCCACCTGAGGCCTGTACTATGAAGCCAGATTTTGGCTTATCCAGATAACTTCAGGGTTAACTCTGGGTGTTCTGTACTGCATGTGGTTCACTTTTTGCCATGGTAACTTATGCTTATATCCTTACTCTCATTCCCCATTATTGTATCTGTAACACGCAACTTCTGTCGGTGCTGTGCTACTGGAAACTGAATTTCCCGAAGTAACCCACCCAAGGGATTAATAAAGTTTCATCTAATCTAATCTTATGCCGTGAACCTTACCTGGACCACCTGACCAACCAAATCTCCCAAAAATAGCATCCCTGGAATCAGGCAGATCTCCATGCATGAACAAGTTCATGGAGCATCAGTAATAATGAATATATAAATATAGATTTTTCATGCAACTTTATTCCTGTCGGCGCTAAACAATTTTACAACAATTTTATTTTTTCAAGACCTCATATCAAATTTCCATTAAGGTTGAATTCTATTTTTATATTTAGTCTTTACTCTCAAGCTGTAAACGGCACCCAGTCTCCAGCTGAAGGAATAAAACTCAAACTGTCAGGAGCCGGTTATGTTTTGAGTTTCAGTTTCACATTTTTACTGATGCTTTTATTCGCAGCATGTTTTATTCTGCTGGATGAATAAGTTTTAAATGTTCGGCGTGTTAAGCCGTGCCTTATTAAACCCACCGAATGAAGTGCAAACTGCATCACATTGTGACGGGAATGAGAAAGGTATCAAATGGTGATTAAAGATCTATAAACATAAATACGACTGTTATTAAAAGGATCAGATGAATGCTGCAGAAAATTGATAATTGATAATCTGGTGATTTATAGCACAAAGCAGTAAAATCAGTCTTAATTCCAGTGAATCATTTTTTGTGGAGGTCATGATTTGTAAAACGCCCGTTTCAGATTGCTCAGACGCTGCCGACATCACCCCTTTCATATGAACCCTTGATTAACTCGTGGGACCGTTTCTCCTGATTGTCAGTGAATCCAGGTAACAGAAAGAGCTCTGGTCTCCTGCAATATATGCAACTTTCCTGTCAACATCATATCATCAATCTCTATCCCTTTATCAGTCCCTACATTTACATGCTGTTTACATCTTTGTACCTGGTGCAGGTGAGTGTGGTTGCATGTTTAGAGAGTCTTCCTGTAAAGTTGCGTCTTCCTGCTCCTCAGGGTCTGTGGTCAGAATCTGCCCGAAACAAAAATCAATGATTTAGGTTTTAAAACTAGATGCTCTGAACAGACTGAGCTCTGGTCAGTCCCAGTACCTGTCTGACAGCAGTGAGGCTGGTCAGGCTGCTGCTGTCTGCGATGACCATGGCTTGCGAGAGCAAACTGGATGGGTGGTACTGGGGCGAATCCGATTTGCTGTACACTGGAACGACAAACGGATGAATGAATCTTTACTCGGGGATGACATGTTGAGCTCTAGTCTTCATGTTACTGCAGTCTTACTGTGACATGGCAGCTGTGCCATGGTTGCCATGAACGGACTGGCAGCCATGTGACTCTGAAGCTGCTGTGGTATTGGCGGCTGAGGAGAGGCGTGAAGCTGCTGCTGGAATGAGATGGGCTGCAAGGTTGTGAAACCGCCTCCCATGTTGTTTATGACAGGCACCGTCTGAGGTTGCGTGGAGGCTAAACCTGTGAAACAGCATTGACGTTGGTCTGAGAATTTTCCCCCTTATTACAAAATGGGAAATAAAGGGAACCAATGTTACCAATGAGAAGGGAGGACTCCCCCAGACTCATGACGCTGGGCACTGAGGCCATGATGAGGCTCTGTGAGGATGCAGGTGAGGCAGACAGACTGTGCAGGGAGGTTAGAGTGCTTACTGGGGGTAGTGGCCCACCGCTGGACACCTGAAACCAGAGGATGGCATGTTTAGGGCAGCTGGAAATTTAGCATATTGAACCACGAGGGATCCGGACACGAGCTCTCACCAGCTTGGGGTTATGGGTCTCGAGGAGTGTGTGGCTTGGCTCCAGTTGGACTGGACTCACCATGAGACGCCCCACTCTCTCCCCTCCGCTGCCTCTGGCTGAGCTCACAGTGTCGCATGGGATGTGCTGGCTGTATTTCACACCTGGGGAAACAACAATCATCCAGTCAGTCCCAGAACATTTATAAGGTTCGTGGTTTACACACATCACAGCTGACTTTGGTCGATTGCTCCAAGTCTAAATAGAATAAAGGTAAATATGAGCATCCAGCAGCACAACCAGTAGAGTCATGTCTCTAAGCCATTCTGATTTCCCTCTCAAATTTCCATACATGAGGATGGGTTATTACCGTGCTCGGGACTGGGTGGAAGGTTGGCGTTGGAGGATGAGGCAGTCTGACTGCCGAAAGGCGTGTCGAGGGCCAGTTTGTGACGAAAAGCCTCCTCTTTCCGACGGTTAGCGAACCAGTTGTACACTCGGACTTCAGTGACCAGGTTAGAGCCGAGGCCAGCAAGCTGGGAGGGAGACACGCCCCTCTGGAGGCATTCTGCCCTGAAAGAGGAAATCAGACTCTCTTTATTACAATCTTTATTACAAGTGTTAATTGTTATGAATCTATAGAAATGTATGATCAGATGCCAAGAATTTAGATCAATCATGTTAAAGTTTCTCACATATAGTTTGGGTCTGGATAAGTGTCACAGCAACCCTATAAAAACAAGATAAATGAACACAAAATCAAAACCCTGTCTCACCTGTTACACTCCTCAACCAGCCCCTCTCTTTCCTCCTTGCTCGGGTTCTTCTGTCGTTCGTAGGCGTGGAAGAGGATCTGCAGGGATGCTGGACCCCACTTGAACCTGTTCCTCCGTCCTTTCTTGGTGTCCTCCCCTTGCTCCTTCACAGTTGCAAGGCCGTGTTTGGCATTGGTAAATTCTACATTTAAAAAGTTAGCATGGTTTTTGTTGTTGTTTTTAAACACCTCACATTTTTCTTTTATTTTTGCACGCTTGGAGCTCCAGCACGGCTTGTGTACTCACGCTGGCTGATCTCGCACTGCTTCTTGACATACCAGGTGTACAGAGAAGCTCTTTTTTGGTTCTTCATGGGCGTGCCTTTGTTGAGGTGCTGGGAGAGGTGAGACTGGTTGAGTCCCGTGGACTCCACCACCTCCCGCTGAGGTAGGTTATGCTGCTGCATGTAGCTTTTTACCATTTTTGCAACATGCCAGGGATCCTCACTGTCAGACAGACAGACACCTGAGCTTAAAAACGGCCCACCTTATAGTTTTGTGCATTTTTATTTAGTGGACTTTTCCTTAACAGATACCAGTATATGTAGAAGTGCTAACCAGGCAGTTTGTCACATCAGTAGGGATGTAAAATATGACCACACAAAGAGAGGTTTGTTGACAAAGAGAGATAAGAGAGAGCACGGGGGAACAAAGTCCAGCCCTTTCAGAT